TACATATTTTGTTAAAAGGCCAAATATAGACTTAAAACAAAAAAAAGTAAGTTTCTGTTTTGTTTTATTCTTTGATCGGGCTTTAAAGGGTTAAACATATTGGTAACCATAATGTAAATACCACATACACGTTTGCTCAGACATATGGTTTTAAAACTTAGCAAAAAGAAAATTTTAGTTGCTTCATTGCCTGTTATAGTGCAAAGCAGAGCTGCGAAAGTTTTGCGCTTTTTATTTTGTGTGCAGGATTTCACAGAAACACAACGGTGTGGTTGAGCTAACGGGCTGAGCTGGAACACTGCCAAAACCTGAGATGCTTCCTTTGCAACGCGTAGAGCTGGTGGCAGCAGAAAGCTTACTATGTGACACTGCCTGCTTACATGAAACTAGTTTCACAATTTTCTAAGTGTTTCACTACTGTAGATGCATCTTTCAGTTTTGAGTTTTTTATTGAATATGATAAACTAATGGAACCCACTTAAAACTTGTTTCTGCCTTTACGAAAGGGAGATCATCGTGTTACCAAGATTTTACCATCAGCCAGCCATTTTAGTTTTGTTATCAGTCTGTGATTGGTTTTGATCTTTCTGCTTTCAAAAGTTGAAGTCATGATTACTTCTCTGCCTTTTAAATGTACATGATAAACCTGCTACTGAGCTTGTGACTGCAATTTAAGACTCAGCCAGTGGGTGTCCCTGTTGGTAATAATATATGAAATTTAAACCTGTGCTTGCCATTCAGATCGAAGTTGTTTAAAGAAATTACTTCTATTTTGTCAGAGGCCTCTTCTTCATTCTTTTTAGTTCTATCCCATTTATTTGTGAATATTATCAATTTTTGTAACATTTCAAATAATTTCGAAATTAATTTGTTGAAAAGGTAATTTGCTAAATATAGTTTCTTTATGTCATATATATATATACTGTATATATAAATGTGCTTTTTTAATGTACTTTTTTATCAAACAAAAATCTTGTGCTCACATTAAAAGTCAGCATTTATTTATCTCCTAATTACAGAGGTTTACAATGCAAAAGATTGACATAAGATGATTAAGTGAGGGAGAAAAAACAATGCCAAAAACAAATACTTAAACTGGAGCAGCCTTTTTTCATTTTTTTTTTAGCATTTTGGATATTCACTATAGATTTGATCATGTCCCCTCTCAATAAGTCACTGATTCCATAAACTTTCAGCCATTACAAACTGCCAAACTACAAACAGACAACAGTTGTTTTAGAAAATCCATCAAATGATGCCCACTGGCTAATTCTTTCTTTTTCTTTTTTGCAGAGCCATTCTAAAATGTTTTGATGAATTTAATCTGTTCAAGACACACCGACGGGAAACCATGATTAATAGCATTCATTTAAGTCACGATCGCAAACAGCATGGCTCATAAATAAAGGGAGCTGTCTGAGGAGGGATGAGAAGAGATAGTCCCTTCTTTACTCATTCACCAGCATCCACAGCTTGTTGCCATTAAACAAACAGATTCATCTCATTTCCTGATGTGTGTTTAGGAGTTCCCTGCTCTGTTCTGCGTTCTTGCATCACTGAATCCCCAGTAACATTTAATCAACAACTGGGAACATGTTTGTCGCCCGTCGGTCGCCTTCAGAGGCAGCCAAAAAAATTCATTTCTAGATTATCCTCGAGTCATATCTGGATGCTCTGCTTTCATCCCCCCCAGCTTCAAAGCCAGCACTGTGCACACTTCAAACAGCCATTGCCGAGTGCCAGTCAAAACCCGCTCCAGAAGACAACAAACACTGAAGAAAATGTTAATCAGCCCGGGCTGAGCATCACCAAAGTAAATAAAATAAATGGTAAACAGATGGCATGATTTGTAACATATGGGTAAATAAGGCAGTCTGTCATCTTTCTTCTAACTTTTTTTAATTCGGTGGTTCACACAGAGTCCAAACTCTTCTTCCACTTCCCTCCAACCATCCCAAACCATCTCTCATGAGTCAGTTACTTCACTGCATGCTGCTGCTTTTTCCAGCCCCCGAGTGGAAGTCCCTAACCCAGGGTTTGGTTAAGACAAGGGCATATATCATGTTCCTCATGTTCAAACAATCCAGCAGCCCTAACCTTTTTACCTTCATCTCAGCGGGATCAAATACAACCTTCAGCATGCGTAAAAAAAAAAGGTTTTTGTAGGCAATTTAACGGCTCAGAGTTTCCACTTTTTCAGATGTGAAAGTATCATACAGGACGGTGGGAGCGATGATAGGTCCGAATGGGAGGATGAATCACTCATTTAGTGAATGGGCCCAATCCCAAAAGCATCATAATGAAAATAAGTAATAAGGAGCAAGGGAAGTTTTCATTTCCACAAACTATTTATGTGGTTCAGGACTCATAAATTAGCACAATAATTTACCTGCCATCACTGCAGCAACTAATAAGATAAAATGCTCAAATTACTGGTTTTGGAAAACTAATTTAAAACCAAACAAACAATATATGCTTAGAGTTCACTGACTGAGAGGAAAAAATGACTATCCCTTATCAATCTGTAGGATATATTCTCAAATTCTAACTCTAAATTTTTTTTTCTTATCACTTCTGTTGGGAAGTAAGTCAGTTTATTGTTTATGATTATAAATAACCAGCATAAATTTGTTCAGGGACAAAACCCTTAGATGTGATGTCTGAACAAGGGAACAATGTGTGCGCTTGTTTGAGGACGCAATACTTCTAACTTTTCCTTGGAACGAGTTGTCTCAGCTGTAAACCTTCAAATAAACTAAAAAACATAGGACATTTAAACAGTGTCGCGCACAATAAAGCCTTGTTGGACACATGGGAGCGTCTGGATAACAAATCATTCCCGCAATGTGGAAAGCAAAGTGTAAATGAACCGCTTGTCAGTGTGTGTGCATTTCAGCCAACCTCAGATGAAAACCCTTCCATCCATTTGCCTTGTTTCCGTTTAGTTTTGATCAGCATCGCGGCTCACAAGTAGGCGGTAGGAAAAGCGAAAGATGCCTCCTTCCTGTCTGAACTTTGGCAAATACACTTGGAGGCACGATAAAAAATGTCAAGGACCCGGCTGTGGTCAGAGCGCTGCCGTGACTCATTCACAGCGGGACTCTGTGCGCGTTTTTAGAGACAGGGAGTGGTGGCACACGCTCTGTACGTACAGCAGATGCTGCGACCTTTATCTCTCACTCGTGGCGTCCAAGGAAACGTGGCGCACGCTGGTAAACAGTCAGTTTCTCAGTATCTGCCTGAGAGAGATGAACTGATAGTCACCGCCAGAGTCGCTCAGGCAGCCACCTGCTGCCTTGTTCTGTGGAAACTGAGGTGATGCCACAACGTTGCCCAATGTTCATCGATTGCTCTTTAAATGTTACATATTTCTCTGCGGGGTTAGCGTTGCCCAATAGGCTTTCAGTGTAGAAGGTTTGGATGGATGGTGTTGTGAAATGTGTAACTTTTATCTATATTTCTTCATGTGAAACATTCATGTGCAGGCATTTTATCTACAAAAGCCAGTATGAATTACTTAAACTTCTGCTCCTGAAGTCACCAGAGAGCTGCGTTTAAAGGCAAAAGTTCACTTTATGTACAATGACGCCAAACGCTACTTTAAAAGTGTTGTTTTTCTTTCAAAGACTTCTTATCATGTCTCCCATGATGTGGGACTCATCGCCCTTCCTGATCTCGAAATTAATGGAAGATATGGACATCAGAAAAGGATATCTTCTGTATCACCATTTTGAAACTTACCCAAACTGTAAATTAAAAAAATAACTGCTCACCTCCACCCATCTGATTTAATCACACTTACTCTTGTACATTTTTTAAAATTCTATTTACATAAATTGGGAGAAGGGAAAGTCCTGACTGGGGAATAGATGTTTTTTGGGAACTTTTTCGCACACTACAGTTAAGATTCCTTTACTATCACACCCAAAACCAAATAAAGAGTCCACCCTCTGCCTTGTATGGCTCAGTTGAAAACTAAAGATAGAGAAACAGTGTTAAAATGCTTATTCTGTCTGTATGAACACTGTCGCATTGAAGCTGAGCCACCTCTGATGGCTGCTTTAAGGCATGTTAGAGAAACACACAATACTCCGAATCAGTCCAAGTAAAGTTGATACTTTTGGCTACATCGATCAAGAAAAACCTTATAGCTTTTGGTCTGATTCACATCTGCTGCTGATAACCACAATACGAAACCACAGACTTGGCAGCGGGAGCCAAGCTCTGCTCCCTGCCAGGGCTTTCACCACAAACTATCAAACTGCCACGCCGAGCCTCCCGCTGTACGCCGCACCCAGGATCAATGTGTGTACCGAATACCAGATTCCCTAATCAACACCTTCTCCATATTCTCCCCCTCAGGTGCCCCGCCGACATCAAAGGAGGGGAAAGGATGGTGTGGTATCTCCGTGCGCCTGTGCCTTTCCACAGTACACAACACAGCCAGGCTTTCAGCCCCGAGACACAGGCGGGTAGCTGCCGAGGAAATTTGATTTCACGACTATCACGTGGCTAC